TTGTCTGGGAGGATAAAACACTGACTTGTACATCGGCTGGCCCCCGCAAGTCATATAGGCCACATCGCATTCAAACGCCACTACGAATGTACAAATGGAAGTAGAATGCGTGCCGCATCCCAAAAAGGGATTGATCAACGGCAAATGCTTTATCCTTTATCCTTTAATAAAGCTTGAAAGAAAAGCGTTGCAGACTTTCTTTCACCTAAACAGCTGATTCAATAATAACCACGATAAAGGTGTCAACTAGTGGTAGATAGATTTTTCTTCGTTGTTTACTTCTATTGGTTAATTTTTAAGCGAAATAGTCGCGCTACTAGTAAAGCTTGGGCGATTTATAATCGAGTTTTATAGCTAACATTTCAGTTAACGGAAGAAATCAAAGCACATTCCGCAAAGCAGATTAATGCGTTCATCTATGGGAAAGAATCTTTCATTCACTCACGTTCCAATTGTCGCTGACACGAATATCTGAACAAATCGAGTGGAGGCACACACAAGCACTGCAATCAGGCAAGGCGATGGTAGTTCGGTGTTATCCTAAAAGGTGTCGCTTCAATAGTAAGTTTTTTTTCTGAACAAGCATGTAACCAAAAAAAACCGGAATGTCTCGAGAACGCTAATTAATGTGAAGCGCTATCGCAATATACGGTGGCATCCTCTACGGCTAAACCTAGGAGGGGGCAGGAACTACAAGAAAAATGAAAATCGCTAATGCCTGCTAGAGTCTCTAGTCTTGCACCTAAGGCTTAGTCCCGTTCTGAAGTTTAGAGAAGGGAATTTCAGCAAATTTCCAATGCACTCCCACCACAGTGCCCCCATATCTTGCGATAGCGCCTATTGTGGTTCTATCGCCTATAATATTTGTAAGTGAAAAAGGGCAGACAGCCATTAGAAGTCAACAAACCTCCATTGCTGACGCCTTGAAGTACGTCGTAGTTTTCCTCGAAGATGAATACAATTGCCAAAAATCCTAATATATTCAGCAGTAATGCAAATAAAGCGGGGGTGTTATAGATGCTCAGCCGAAGAAATGGCAAAGCCGGGACTCCATCTGATCCAAGAGGCGTGAAAAGCAGCTGGAACGCTGAAAACCACCATGAAGATTTCAAAAAATAAGCAAAAAGCGAAATACACCAAACCGTAAATAAATACTAAGAATAATAAACAATAGAACCAAATAAGATGGTAAAGCATCTTTAACATAGTAGTGCACTATGCCTTCTAAGCAATTGCAAGAAAGGACAGAAGCAGTTTGGAGTGACCCCTAGAGGAGAAGGCGCCGAAGAATAAGCTCATAGGAAAATCATCATGCCTCTTGTTCAGTAACAGACCTGGTCCAATGAGCGTTCCAGTAGCGATTCCACCGCTCACAAAGGCGATGGCGCGTGTGCGATCTTGCCTGGATGATGACGTAGCCACGTAAGCCCTCAGGAGGGTCATGTTTCCTGAAATATATACACTATTTAAGTCTCCGTAGTCAATATGAGTAGTTTAACTTGCGCACTAAGAGCTTCAATAAGGGTTTTTAAGGATTTCCAGATAGCATTCTTGCGAAAACGCGTTGAGTTCAGAGCTGACTAAGAAAACTTCATAATGCTCGGTTTTACAGCACATTTCGGCGTCTTTTTCGGTGGGAAGAACCCTGGTGTGGACGACGTATGTTGTAAGATACCCCTTCCTCACCCCCACACCTTACTTCGGTGGACACACTTGCAACTCTGCCCAGAAACTTCAAAAGTATCTTGTAATTTTGCTCTATAGAAACGGCAAATTTTCAAGACACCTCCATATTTCGCAAAATTCCACAGAATTTTTTCACTTCCCTAAAAAATAAGTTGGTTCTATGGAATAAAACACCGGCGGCGCGGACGCATGCGCGTACGCGTGACGTCACTTTGACGTGACAGCACGGCGAGGGGATGAGCAACGAGCAAGGTTTAACATGAATACTTCAATACATAACGTTTTGCGCATTCTATCGTGCTCTTACTTAAAGGCAAAAGTCGGGCCTCAATAAGGGGTATTATGGCGATTGAAACTGAGTATAGAGATGCGAAGTGGAACGACAGTGGAGAAAAAACTGAGAAAAACCGTCGACAAGGCCGTTAACAAAACCCTCTTTCCCACTAGCAGTGAAGGAGGCTGGCTTGGGGAAAGAGGCACGTACAAACAAGTTTTCTGGAGATGTCAGTCGTTCTATCGGTTGATACGGCAATCAACCTAGCTGATTTCACACGTTATGCCAGCCACGCACCACTTCCGGAGGTGGGCGGTCCTGGATTGACCAGGCGGCCCTGGATTGAAACCGAACGCCCCGGGGCCTTAACGGGGTTTTTCAAGGTGGGAAGTTGCTGCAATGTGTGCAGCTACCCACATACAACCTCCAGGCACGGGAATTACTTCTCTAGCGTGCCTGAGCCCGACCTTTGCCTTTAAGTGTGCCTGCGGATAGTTACAGAGAATGGAAATATTGTCTTTTCTTTTTTATAATAAACTTCGAGCTAACGCCGCGCTCACTAAGGGTTACATACTAAGACGTTTATTTCCTGCACATCCACAAAAATTCCCATATTTTTGAGAGGCGCCGAGATGTGTACCCATGCAGCAATTTAACCTCATCGCTCCTCCGGCACTACAGATTGCACTGGTTGGTGAGATGTCAGCATTCCTTCTACTATTCAAGCGAAGTGACAGCGACGCTGTCTGTCAAGTTTCTCGTCGCACTTGCCGCGGCTGTGACGTCACCGGCACGCGCTCGCGTCCGCGCCGCCGGTGAGCTTTTCTCTCCCACCAAAGTTCCCTCCTAATTTCCCAGAAAATTCGATTCTGAATACTAATATTTTTCCAAAATCCAAAAAAGGGTCTTACTAGACAACTGATTGCCCACGATCTTTTTCATCTTTACTACTAATACATTCTATAATTTTTACGAAACCGAACAAGCATATAGGTTTCTGTACCTGTTCCACAGCCAGCAATAAATCGTGCTACCATCATAACAAAGACGGTATTAGATGGTTCGAAAATATCAAGCAGAAAGTAGAGAAAATTGCCCACCATCATAAATGCGAAACCAGCTAGAAGAGGTATTCGAACCTGTAATTCTGCGATTCATGTTTGAAATTTAAGATATGAACACCAAGATCTGCAATTTCAACAATCAAGAGCTTATGAACGTTCCCGTGGGAATACTTCAGAAATATAATGGCATAAAGCAAGCAAATAGGTTGTGGGAAAATTTTCACGACACTTTGAAATTTTCTTCGAAATGTTCTGCACGCTTCAGGGAGGTTAGAAGGATAGGGTTCTATGATGAGACACTCAGAAATATTGGAGTTCAATTAGATTTTCCGAGGTCAACGTCTGCTATAGAAAGAGTGATCTCTGGATATGTCCTGAGACTACTCTCTCTTCACAAGTACCCTCTGAACGTCAACGCAAAGTAGACGGCCCAACAAATCAACATCAAGATGGGCTCTAGGACTATTTACCGCGTAACTGCTTCGCAGGTTCGCTAGGTGTGGAGGTCGCAACTTTTTCCCTGTCAAAGACGAAATTCGGATTCCCCAGAATTCACCCCTGCATCATCTGCGCGCCGAAATGTGCACAGGCATCTTCTTAACTCCTTCGGGTAGAAGAAGCACTTCGGCCTGGCTGTTAGGGACAAGAAGCACGTGGTCTCTTCAAGTCACGACGGCATGCACCATCGGCTGGGTACCCATTGGCAGGGTTACATGTGTTTCTAGGAAAAACCCAGTTTGTACCGAACGGAGGTCTTTGTGCTGGTGGAACACACGGGAACTAGCCCACTGAGAGCTGCTAGCAGCTGTAAGTATGGACACACTGGATGGCTACCGTAAGCAGTTGGATAAGGTGGCGGCAAAGCTGAAGAACAAAAAGGGAAAAGTTACAATAGGGTCACGACTTCTCCTACAACCCGAAATATTACCTGCTCTATTCGATTGCTCCAAAATCCAAACAGAGGTGCCATTATACATTGTCCAAAACTGTATAACGCCGTGATGTGGCCGTATTGAGTTTCCACTGCTTCGGGATTTAGCTATGATATGAATAAACGAATTAGGAAGGAAATGGTGAAGCAACACATGCTCAAGCCTACCTTCCGTAAGTAAGGCCACATTGAATTGGAGAACATGTTGAATTGAGCAGCTTGAATAAATGCACATCCACCAGCAAGGTAGATGGATGCCCATGGAGTTTTAGATTGTGTTCCTTGTTTGAATTTTGATTTATCGGCTTTACAATCAACCTTAAAGGAATCCTTTAAGAAAAAACCATGTTTCAATTTTCGGCTATGAATCACTGGCTTGAGACTCAACTTCGCACTAGAAGAATGAAAAGCAGCAGAGTAAGCGTTCAAGAGTTTTGAAGAAATTCGAAAACAGGAGGGCTCCATGCGTGCATAAGTTCCGCCGCATCTGTCATGCAAAAATTGGTGGCGACGGGCTTCCACATGTTTCGGGTTGCTCACTTAAAACTCTCCTGGCTTTTTGTTATTTGGCATTCAGCATCTCACAGTTCTACTCCATTCGTATATTCCTATCGAGCTTTAACCCGATTTCTTTCATTGCGTCGCCTGATACGTAGCCGGCCAAAGGCCAACTTCTTTCCATGCCTCGCCTTTGGCTCCGCCCGAATTACCTTCGATTGTCCATAGAGTGTAGTTTTGTACGTTTGTTTCTCTTCGGAAACCGAATCTTCATGCGTGAAACTTTGTGTGCTGTTTCCAGTGATCACAGCTGACACATTCATGTCAAGAAAGAATGCAAGAATTTTCCGCGAAAGATTCGAGCAAAGCATGCGGTAATTTTCGGCGAATTATCCTTTCAAAAGCATGATCACACCGCGCGCAGGCATGGCGCTTTTAGGTCATTGATGTCATTCATAGAATGCATTTAGAAGCGGTCCCAACCATAGCCCCATCGCGGTGAGGAGTCTAATATACTAATGATGTCATCAAAGCTGCACCGCCCTCCATCTATCGTGATAATTGCCTTCAAGCGTTATAAGCAAAAGAGAAGATGTAATCAGCACAATGGGGAACGGCACTGAGGAAAAAGCACCGATGATGATCAAAGGAATATTGTTAACAAAAAGTTTTTCGTCCCTTGACCTTGAAAAGTATTCCAGAATAAAGTGCAGAGATAAACGAAACGAAATAAACGAAAATAATATTTAAGAAAGCCTCGACAATTCACCGAAAAATTTGACATGTACTACTGTGCATCAATTATGCACCAAATATAAAAAGGTACAGGAACAATTAGTGAGTCATTGAGCTGACCATCCTTCGAGCACACCCACTTCCAATGTGCATGTAATATATACGACAAAATTCTTCAAAATTAGCTCCATTTGTGCCTTTTCAGATGAGATTGCCAAGAAAGCTCAAGTGATCCGCTCATAGAATGGAAGAATTGCTAGGGCTGATCTAGTTGCTACCCACAGGGACAGGTCAACAGATAAGCTCGGCCCGCAGAAAAGACGTGTACACTGTTATATTCGCTTTGAAAGGCTGAGCTCAGAGCTGTCATATCTGCTAGAATTCTCTGAGCGGAGCCGTCAAGCAGAAAAGTGCTGTGAGCGGAAGGTTGTATATGAACTCTATTACGAAATTCTTCTCATCAGGGGCATAGCTAGAAAGGCTTTTGACATCATCATCACATCAGTCCTACAAATGATTTCGCGGCGAGCTTGTGTCCAGGTCATGCGCATTTTCGGTAAGGCTATCATGCATACATGAGGTATGCAAAAACATCATACTCTGTTTGAGGAAACCTTTAGCAGATAAGTAAGGTCGTGCTGAGCTTGGCGTCCGAAGAGAATGCGACGGTTAAATTGCATTTTATTTGGAAAAGTAACCTGTCGTCACTTGGCAGGCACCTGGAACCACCATAATCTCATGTTCGCCCATGATGAAGTATACAATTTATGCCCTTCGATTTTATATACCCATGTGGGGTGGGCAAAAATTACGGCAACAAGATAAATTAATCATAAAAAAGCCATTGTGGCCATAAAGACCCAACCTAAATACCAGCATAATGGAGGGAGCTTATCGAACCGATTAATACTTATAGAAAAGCCGCTTTCTGCGTTGATGCATAAAAGTGCTCCCGAAAACTCATCGTCTCCGTTGGGTAGAATTTGTAGTCGCGCAAAAGCAGTATAGCGCCATTCCTGGTCAGTTATTGTATTACTAACCATGGTATTACGGTATTGCTTAGCATAATTGACCTGAAGGTGGCGCTATTCTGCTCTAGCGGTTATGACTGAACCTTTGAGGAAGTCGATCTCGTTGAAACGTCAGGCCACTAATAAAGGCTCCACCTAAAAGCCATGTTGGCAGGAGACAGGAGAAGAACCTTGTAATCCCAATAATGCCGATATTCTCGAAGAGAAAAGTTGGATTTTGCTGTACAATATTTGAGTTGAGAATCTATACCCATAATTTTTTGAAGATCAATCGTTTTATGAAGATCGACTAAGGAGATCCTATTCAGGAACGAATATTTCTATCCAAGAATTATGTAAAATTGTTGACTATAATGTGGTAAGTGAAAAAAAGAATACCTGCTGAATTTTTTTGCTCATACCCTCAGTGATGATCATAAAACAATTAGAGCAGTCGACGGAACGGGCAGTCGAAAATGTGGAGTGTTTTTAGCATGGTTCGCTATATGCAAAGTTTTAGTGACGGTTATGTTAAACGAGTCCATAATCGTGGCTCAAACGCAATCCTGACTTTCAATGGCATCAGTGATCAATGATCCGATTGCTCCACTAGAGTCCAGGGAGTGTTGGTCACTTACTTCGCTCCCAAAACTGCAAAAGGAGGCTACCAACTACCACTGCGAAAAAATGCTTCCTTTGCACCAAAAAGGTGGACTTCACAATGAAAGATTCATTTATTATTCGCATATTCTACTTTATGGCTCGGTGAGAGCATGAACTCTGACGTGCAAAGAGTGAGAGTGATGATTGTGTAATGCGAAGTTGAGCAGGACGGGGAGACGGGCGAAGTCCTATTGCCTGAATGGAACGCCGGCTCTACTTCGCCGCTACACTGAAATGAGCTAGACTAATTTGGGCATCTCGAATCGGAACTGAACGTTCCTGAAAAGACTCACGCTTTGTCAGTGGCGTGGTGGCAAACCTCCTGTACGGCTCGTTACACATAATTAACGTTATGGCTGCTATACAGCCATGTGATCCGACCAAAATGCACGCATAATTTCCAACATCTAGGATATAAACGAATACATCAGCACATAAAGATGGTAAAAATGGTAAAGACTCTAGCGCCAATGTAATTGGGACGCCCCATATCTCGACCCCTCCGTTCGAAGCCTCAGGCGTCTGGGATGCGACAACCCTCGGGGGGACAGCGAATGTTGCCTGAGTACTATGAGACCATACAGCTTTTTGGAAGGTTTTTGTTGACCTGGGCAGGTTTGAAGCCATTACTTTAAATCCTGATGATTCCAGTAAGAAAAGGGGAATGGTGAAAGGCACTGCTCTCAGATGGGAGAGTACTCGGTGTTCTACTAGGTTTTCTCTTCCACTGTTCACAAGTATCAGAGAACTCAATGAGTAAGGCTTTGTTGCAGCTCGAACTAATTGGTTATTCGCGAAATGCCGCGTTTGACTTTTTACTTCTTTACGTTTTGGCTCACAAAATCCAAAAGCGTATATCTCGGTTCAAACAGAAGCGTTTTTGCTCAAAATAAAAACAATTACAATCCCCAAACCTTTGCCTATAGAAATGAGTTAAAGCATCCGGATGTTGGAAGTGCTGGAGTTCTGTGAGCTAAGAACTCGGCGAAGGTCGTTTCACCACCATGTTGGGTTTCAATGCTCAATCTCTCTAAGTAGACCTTCCAGATGGTTGGAAAAGTGATAGTTGGTAGGCAATAGGTCTAGTGTGTGAAAATTGCAGCACAATTTCGTAGCTCAGCTAGTTCAACTTGGAAGTCCGAGATGGGGTTGTGCACAGTGGGTAGAAGAGCCGGCGGCACCCAATTTTCGACTTCTTTGGGCTTTTTACCCTCACCGCTATGTTTGGAAATCTTATGTCGGTTACGCCCAATTCAGAAGCAGCCTGTTCAACAGTTTCATGCAGATTTGGTTGGTCAAAACCCTCAGCTGATCTTTATCAGTCTCCGATATCACTAATCTCCTTCGAAGCTTTCAACATCGCGAGAAAGACATTTTGAATTACGACTGCACAGCGTATTTTTTGTGGACTCAGAACCAAATGCTCAGTTGATATCGCAACTTGCTTCCGCACATTTCCGAGCAAGTTTGAGGGAAACAATAAACTACAGTGCAAAGCATACTGTTGAGAACATCCCGAACAGCCCAATACTATTTTTCGGCTTTCAAATTAGCAGTGCGAAATGCATGAATAATTCTTTTTGCTTGAGCTCTGCTACTGGAAAGAAGGGTTGCGAAGAAACGATAGTAAGCTGTCGAATAAAAGTATGCCACACCAGCAGCCAATTCTTCATGGCACCAGCCAGATAACAAGCTTGTATACTTCTAGATGGCCACAACTTCCAAGAGCCTTGACACTCTTCGCATTCTGAAACGAGCCATTTTCTTCACTTCGAGGTACTGGACTAGTAAGGTCAAGATCGAGTGTACCTCGACATCAAACTAGGCCATCCATAAACGTCCAACGGTTGTGCGATACACCATTGTCAATAATGGCTCACCCCCGATTGATCGCCTATGGATCGTTCAACAGTGAAACATGTTCGTTGACTAACGTGGTAACCTCGTCGCGCACCGAACACTGGTAACAAACATAGCAGCCGCGTGACGAATCGGTGCAATCATACTGAAGACTGGAATAGCTACCTGGAATTCTTTGCTGCTTCTATTTCTGTGAAAATAAAGTTTTATTTAGTCTATGACGCTTCGAATTATTGCATTAACTAACGATACGAAAATAATTTCATGCTAACGATTTTTCTTCCGGCAAAAGCACACTGAGGCAGAACTCCTTCGGCGACTTCTTGGCCTCTAGCGTTTCCCTGACCAAAAAGGGTTGCCCTCGAGCGTTTTTCAGGCAGCAACTGCCTCATTTGGCTCACTCAGTCTCGACGACGCGTTCGCAATCCTCTTCTTGATATTGTTTTCCAATATGATTCCAAATTTCACCGTTAATTTGGCTTTTTTCACCATTGACAGACATACTTGGCAAAGTTTACTCTAGGTTCATTATCACTTCATTATATAAACCAGAACTTTGGTGTGTCGGTTTGTCGTGTGTGTGTCGTTCTGTCCGTCCGGACCAACCGCTCACAAAACCAGGGAGTACGAAGGGCAACACTTCGTGATGTTGATGTCATGATCATGACACCCACAGCGGCTATATAAACACCGATCGAGCACACTCAGTCTCATTCTACATGGTGCTGCCGTGGCAGCCGGATGAGCGGGGGGGGGAGGGAGGGGTAGAGGGAAGGGGGCAAGAAAGGGGAGGCTGGAAGGGAGGGGAGAGAGGGAGAGAAAGAGGGAGGGAAGGGGGAGAGGAGAAAGGGAGGGAGAACATGGCGCTGTCATGCGCCGGAGAGGAGGGTATAAGGAGGGGGGAGGTGGGGAGGAGAGACTGAGAGAGAACGACCGTTTTTAAGAGTAAGGTCTATATTCAGGGGAGGAGAGACTGAGAGAGAGAACGACCGTTTTCAAGAGTAAGGTCTATATTCATGTTGACGTATTATTCTAACCTGATGTGGTGATTGTGATAACACCCACAATGGCTACAAAAACACCGAACGAGCACACTCAGCCTCATTCTACATGGTGCTGCCGGGGCAGCCGGAGTCGGCGGGCGGTAGAGGGGAAGGGGAGCAGAGGGGGAGGGGAGAGAGGGAGGGAAGTGGGGAGAGGAGAAAGGGAGGAGAACATGGTGCTGCCATGCGCCGGAGAGAAGGGGTATAAGGAGGTATAACACATTCAATAGTGAGGTGGTTAATGGAGTACGTCATGCTGCTATTCCGTGGTTCCTCCCTACCCTGTGATGCGCGCGATAGCGGGCGGAGCAAACCTGGTTAGATTATATTAGAGTAATATACGAATCCAAAAGTTGAAGTTCCTTTACAGAACTGCATTTGCGATTGTCAGTGACGCCTATGTAACCTATTGTATATCTTTTCTAACCATATCTGAGATAGAGATATGTAGATGTGTAAAACACGCAACCAATCACATTACTCACCTGAATACAGAGGTAGAGAAGAAAGCGCCTCTGCATAAGTCTTGTCTTTAGGGATAAATGTTCGTTTTTTCTTATAAAATGGAACGATAAAGGCTACCCAAGATGCAGACATCAGAAGTGTAAGGATGTCCAGTGACACAACTGTCACAATAATCGGTGTCGCTCTTGTTAAGGTGAAAACTTGAACTTGAGGGAAGAGATATAACGGATTTGGCACATGAGTATTCCTGAAGTGAGTGGATAGATAAATAAAAAGGTCATGGACAGTATTTGGGTATACGCCATGCACTTGAGTTTCTCCAAATATCAAGACACAAGACTTTGAAGTTTCTATAGTAGTTTCCAAACATTGCTCATTGAAAAATCTGCATGATAACACTTTTGGTCTTTTGCCCTACCGTGTACATGGAATCCCCCATTTTGATAAGAGACATCGTCCATCAGATAAAGTTAACTTGATACGCATACTGGCATGCACTAGCGGTTGACAGTCCTTTCGGAACAGATTCTCGTCCATTGTTTTTTCTTACTTACGAGTTTTCTTACTTCACATGTTCCTGAATTGTGCATCCTAGTCCTTTCGAATCCCTGAGTTCTGAAGAACCAACAGCTTCGAATGAAAATCCTTCGGTCAATCTCGGGCTAGTTCCTTTCACCATGCAATAGAAGCTTCGAAATGTACGAAAAGTTTCGTCGAGTACTTTCAACCGCTAATGTATGATATACCCTGCCTCTCAACAAACGAGAAGACCGTCGGGTGCAGACCATACACCACAACTGACGACGGCCTCATAGTAAACCTGGGGAGACGGTCAAGAGTCCCCCTCGACCGCCGCGCCAAAACTAGGTCACCGCGCGCGACGTCGCCGGCGTTTCTGCAGTTTGAAACATGGCAATTGGCCAAGTTTAGGACCCGCCTCTCTAGACGATCGATACAACACTTTTTTGTTCCGTCTGTGTAGTCCCCATTTCTGCATTTGTTTTTGCTTAGTCCTAGCAAATTGCCACGTTCCAACTTGTAAACCGGTAGCCGCCGCGTGCGGTGACCTACTTTCGCTTGCGCGGCGACCTCAGGGGGACTCTTGTCTCGCACCCGTAAACCTGATTAGTGGTGAATCATAGTGATAGCTGATTTTGGTAAATGATAGTTGTAATTAGTGACAATGATGGAATACAACTGCAACAGGCTAATCATTTCATTGGCAGAAAACATTTGCATTTTGTGGAGGCCGTCGTCACTTGTGGTGTATGGTCTGCACC